ATAAAAACCTACTTTTGCCCACCACTGCATTTTAAAGCTAAATAAAACTGCTAGTGCCTGGGCCAATCGATGTTTTTCTCTTACATCAATGTTTCTCTCTCACATTGATGTTTCTCTCTTGCTGTCACTCTCGCTCCCTCCTTCTCCCCCCCCCCCCACCTTTCCTTCCTTTCTCTCTAAAATCAATAAAACAAATCCTCAGGTGAGGATTAAAACAAAACAAACTGCTAACAATCTGAATGCTTGATAATATCTGATACATTTTCAAAACAGTTCATTCATACTGACTTATAATAACACTTTTGACTCCGATCAAAATCTCTCATGTCCGTTGGGGTTGGTTTTACTTTGAAATATTGCCTTATTATTAATAACAGCCAATATGCCATTTTAAAGAATTTCATCCTGTGACTACACCATCAGCATTTCATCTGCTCTTATTCATGAAGTACGGTTTCAACACAGACATCACCTAAGTATATAAGGAACTGGATATGTTTAACCAGAAGAAAAGTTAGGGGGTAGAGGGAACAGATAACACATTATAAACAATAAAGGCTATACAGTCCACCACACAAGGTGTTTTTACTTCACCTAAAACACTAAATAAAATTAGCTTAAATCCTTTCCAAGACAAACTGTTTCAGCACAATCCAGAAAATATCCAAATCACAATTTGTTTTTCCTGCTTGACCTCCAATTAATTCTACCACCCAAACCTACCCACTCTGCATATACAGATGTTTACTTATCTGTCTTCCTATAGGTAAGAAATAAGTGAACATAGATCAAAATGTTTATTTGGGAAGTACATTAATATCTCTTCAAGCAGGGATATATTTCTACAGGTAACTCCTGTTACTTAAAAAAGAATTGTTAGTTCATTCAACAAATATTTACAGGACACAACAATAGGAAGACAAAAAAAGATACATCTCCTAAAAGAGCCTGTGTTCAACCCATTAAATAAACTAAAAGAAAAACAAGAAGTGTGTATATAAGAAGACAACACTTAATATATTAAGCACTCCTCATCACAATCACCCAGGTCATTAAGATGAAACCAACCCTGCTTTCTGTTTCCATCTACATAAAGCATTCGGGAGGAGGCTCTGCTATTCATTTCTATGGCATAAAAAACAACCCCAATAATGAATTGTTAGAAATTAGTTCCAAGTCTATAATCTCTTTAAAATAATAAAGGAAATTAGACATTGAATACTAAGTGATCAATTAACTATAAGAAACAATTGTAAAGCCCTTTGATATCTGAACAACCCACATCTTACCAAAATGAACCAACAAACCATGTAACACTCTTGGACTTAGAAACATTCCCCAAAAGATTATCAATGATGGGCCAATAATAATCTTAATATTTCCATTTTGTCACACAAACACGTGTGTGAAGATAAATGCTAACCACTGTGACCCAAATGCTTTCCCAAAAATAAGTGAGGATCATTTGGGACAACCAACTGCAGAATTCACAAATACGTCTAACCAACTGCAGAATTCACAAATACGTCTCTATAGGTTAATCATACTTTAAAGAGGGGAGCAGGGGAGTACAGATGAAAGGACAGGAGAATGACTCCAATCAAGGATAAATAAGAAGAGACTTAGTAGAATTCCAAATGTCACCATGATTTCACATCAATTTAAATATTAAGCTTCATATAAGCTAACCTACCAATGGGAAATGTTACTTTGTGTTTTTTCCCAAAAGCTATAATAAAATTGCTCTGAGTTACTTACATTCTCTTCATCAGTAACCCTTATCACTAACAGCTCATACATGTTTTTTAATGTCAGCACAGAATAGGATTTTAAATATAGCTGTAGAGTAGTATTTCCTGAAGAAACTCAAAGAGGCCCCAATGGAGACCAAATCCATAATCATTACTCTTTCTCTCCCCCACCCCCAAACACCACTCTCCAAAAAGAAATTTTTATGACAAGAACACAGTTATAAACAGAGGTTCCCATTGATGTTTCTAATACTAATACTTAGTCAAATCTTCTGATAAAATTTCTGTATCCCTGCTTCATACTTTCCATCAGCCCTGGCCAGTGTTGATTGGAGCCTAGTCCCAAAGTGTTTCCGGTGAACCAAAGGTCACAGGTTCTATTCCCAGTCAAGGGCACGTACCTCCTATCCTCCCTCTCTAAAATCAATAAACACATATTAAATAAATTAATTAATAAACAAACCATTATAGTACTAAAAGAAAATTCAGGTATATGATATCATAATATCAGTCATGGAGAATGTCCTAAGTATGACATCTAAGTCAGAAATCACTCTATGACAGTGATGGCGAACCTTTTGAGCTCGGCGTGCCAGCATTTTGAAAAACCCTAACTTAACTCTGGTGCTGTGTCACATATAGAAATTTTTTGATATCTGCAACCATAGTAAAACAAAGACTTATATTTTTGATATTTATTTTATATATTTAAATTCCATTTAACAAAGAAAAATCAACCAAAAAAATGAGTTCGTTGCCCTAACCGGTTTGGCTCAGCGGATAGAGCGTTGGCCTGCGGAATAAAGGGTCCCAGGTTCGATTCCGGTCAAGGGCATGTACCTTGGTTGTGGGCACATCCCCAGTGGGGAGTGTGCAGGAGGCAGCTGATCGATGTTTCTCTCTCATCGATGTTTCTAACTCTCTATCCCTCTCCCTTCCTCTCTGTAAAAAAAAAAAAAAAAAAAATGAGTTCGCGTGTCACCTCTGACACACATGTCATAGGTTCACCATCACTGCTCTATGATGAGAAGACTGATAAATTTGACTACATGAAAGTTTCTACTATTCATTAAGTATTAAAAAAAGTGACAAAGCATGTGTACAGTGTAATTTTACTTTTCTTACATTTTAATTTTTTTAGACATAAGTTTATAGCAAAAATGTTAAACAATGGCTATCTCTATGTGAGGAGACTATACAGGGTGGGGCAAAAACAGGTTTACATTGTGAGTACACAAAAGAGCTTACTCTTGTATTATTATTTATTAATTATAGTATTATTTCCCATACAACTGTAAGCCTGCTTTTGCCCTGCCCTGTAAACAACTAGAAACAGCAATGACAAAGTCTGATGTCAACTCTCATACCAGTACTATGTCACCTAACCAAAGTGAAAAGTGTGTTGGCTGTACATATTGATCACTGCTCATCAAATGAATGGACCAAATTGTTTCCTGGGCATGTGTAATGTTTCATTTAAAACCACCTTAATTTTGATAATTTAGAAAATACTTTAATAAAAGAGAATGTATATTATATGTACAAATAGCTTAGGTTCAAGCTCAGAATAACCCTAATAATTATCACTAACATCAGTTAAAGACCCCAAAAATGAAGTATAAAAAATTTTTCTGGGATTGAACCTGATGAATACTTGAGATTTGCTGTACTATTTTTAACTGAACTTTCTGGCCTTAGGTCAAAGTTTTGCTAGCAAAATACCACAGTGAACATGCTGGGAGTGAAGCCCAGTCTCTGCTTTGGCCAATCCTTCCCCCAACGGAAGACGCCTACAGGCTGTCCGGGGTGTCACGACCCCAGGAAAACACACCACCAACACACTCGGGTGAAAACCAGTGAAAGAAGACGTCGGCCGCCCTGACAGCAGACAGTAGCACATCCCAGTCTGCACGCTGGGTGTGCGCCCTCCAGTCCGTTCCTGCACTTTGGCCAAACAGCACTGAGTCACTCTGCAAACGAGTCCAGAAACCTCAGAGAACAAGCAACTGCTTCTGAAGAAAAGTCCGTCCCTGGAAAGGGAGGGACGCCTTTTTTCTCATCAGAATGTCCTGGGCTTCTCCCAGCCGGAGGAGGACTGAGCAGGAGTCCTGGGAGAGACTGTGTAGAAACAACCTGAGGCTCACCACCCGGACCCAGGTCCTCCAGCGCTCATTTAACAGGCAGCGCACCCTCCCCGGGAAAGCCCACCCCGTCCCCACGGTCGCCTCTCGAGGGCACGCTGATGCAGGGGTCCCGTGCAGCACCGCCGCCTACCCTCACAGAAATGAGAAACGGGGCCACGCTTTTCTCCCGTGCGTTTTCTAAATCTGTAAAAAACACGGTTCCTTTTCTTTCATCAGGAGCTGCCCATCTGGATGTCACAGGCCCGGGGAGGAGAGATACAGATACAGTGAAAAAGTTTCTCCGCTCTGAAATCCAGATTGACTCTCTGGCTCTGGCGCTAGCATCTCAGGCAGTGGTTCTCAACCTTCCTAACGCCGCGACCCTTTAACACAGTTCCTCATGTTGTGGTGACCCCCAATTTCATTGTTACAAACTGAACATAATTAAAGCATAATGATTAATCACAAGAACAATATGTAATGATATATGGTGTTTTCCGATGGTCTTCGGCGACCCCTGTGGAAAGGTCGTTCCACCCCCCAAAGGGGGTCGCGACCCCCAGGGTTGAGAACCCGCTGACGGGAAACCTAATTTACAGACATTAACATGCCACGAAAATTTGCAACTATGAAATGTTCCAAAGGCAACTGAGAACAGGCAACCCGGCGGGAGAGCGCGAGGGCAGCTCTTTGTCGTGCACCCCCGGGCAGGTGGGCGCTCCCACCGGGGGCAGCGCCGGCTCTCTCCCCCCGCCGGGACCCAAGGCCCGCGCCGCGCGACACCCTTTCACACGGACTGGTCTGGGGGTGCAGGGCGGCGACTCCCCCCCCACCTCCCCACGCCGAGCGGGTGGGAGGGAAGGAGAAAAGGGGTGTTTCCTCCCCGCGCTCCCAGAAAGGGGCAGCCGGGTGACACCAGCTCCGGGGGTCCGGGGAGGGCTCCCAGGTGGGCTCCCCTCCCGGAACCTGGTCGCCGAAGCGCAGGGTCGCAGGCCCGGCTCGGCCCGGCTGCCGGAAGCGGGGCAGGGTGGGGCGAGACCTCCCCCACGGATGGGTGGGCACCGAGAGGTGGACGGAGGGAGGACGGGGGTCCGAGCCATCGCGGGCAGGGCTCCGGGCCACCTACCAGCAAGCTCTCCACGTTGATGGGCGAGCGCGGGTCCCGGATCAGCGCCTCCAGCTTCCTCTGGCGGCTCGCGCCCGCCCCGTCCCCCGGCACGTCCTCGGGGGCGCCGGGCATTTTCCCCGTCGGCGGGGGCCGGCTCATGCCGCCGCCGGGCCCGCACTCTCGCTCCCCGCGCTCCGGCCCGGCCGCCTCAGGGCCTAGCGCCGCCCCCGAACCGCGGGCTCCGGGCGGAGCTCCGCCCGGGCCCACCGCCGCCTCGAGCTCCGGCTGCGGGTCTCAGCGCCGGTCCGGGGCCTGGGGGCTGTCCTAGGGGTCGGTACGCCCCCAGCACGAGCGGCTAGGGACAGGACAGCAGTCATCGCCGCAGCTTAAGGCGGGATCCGGCAGGCTCAGTCGTCTTCGTCTGCCGGTTAGCTCTCCTACCTCAGGTATCTAAAAACTCCAAAGGGGTACTCTGCGCGGACAGCTGGGGAGAAAGATGGTCACCACCTCTATCTCTCC